ATATAATCCTACAGATAGTGTTATTTATGTGAATTACATTTGCTGGGAATACTTATACGATAGTATTAAAAGTGAGAAACTAAACTTTAATGATAACTTTATGCTAATTAGATCATATTTGACAGTTTCCGGGTGCGGGCTACAGGAACGGATGTTGTCCGTATTATTGTTGCTCCGTGTCCTGCAACAGCTTTTTAAAAGCAATTATAACCTCAGTACCTGAAATGCAGATCTGTTGTAGCGCTTAAAGCAGAATAACAATGACCACAAACTTCACAATCTGTACCTTTTGGGTGGAGACGTTTTCTTGTGCGTGTGTGCATGTTGCTAACTATGTAGCTAAATCAAGCTAACTGCTAGAACTTACCGGAAATGTTACCGGAAATGAGCTTTGTTTCCCTTCAAATTAAAATGTGCCATAGGCATATTAAAGAGGAAGCTTTTGTTTTGAAATTCCAAAGACGACTTGGCGAAGCTACATCATTTTAATGTCTGCTATTTGACCTTTGTGTAACTACAGTAGTTGCACTATTTTTTTGCTACGTTTTAAATTTCTGGATATGTACGTTTACATGTAGCTCCAAGATATTTGGTTGTAGTTTTTACTTTAGCAGGTCTAAAGGCGCGCGCGGATTTATATGAGGACTTCGAAAAGTGTGTTGTCGTTAAGTTAGGCCTCCTCGAGTTATTTCCATCCCTGCCTTCCTTTTTGACAACAAACCCTTTAGCAGAAAATGTCACTAGATGACTATGAGAGACATTTCGACTCGCTGAATTCGGATTTGGGCGGCGGGGCTGTTAGCGAGCGATCAGGTTCAGGCACGTTTAATGGCGAAGAGGAGAGACTGCATTACATTCCTATCCGGATCCTCGGGAGAGGGGCTTTTGGTGAAGCAACTCTTTACAGGAGAACAGAAGTAAGTTGGGTTTTATAGATCACGTTCACGCCAGTTTAAAACACATGGAGGACACAGTTGTTATTGCAAGATTATGTGTGTCCCCCCCAAACAATGAGCAGGTACATTCATAAAAAGAGTAAATAATTGGGTGAATAATAAACATCACGTGTCTCTAATTCTTTACCTTTAATTTTACATATTTAATATTTCTCTGTATAAATTTGTTTCTTGTGCTTTTAAATTTAAGTGTAACTTGTTGCAACAAAAATGGGCAATGATATGCATACAAATATACACTCTTTAGCACAGAAAAAATAGTTTTATTCATTCATTATTATAATTTATATATACACATATGTGTGTTCTGTTGAATACTGTCAGCATTTAGAACAAATCCAACAACACAATGCTGCTGGCCGTCAAACTTAAGGGCAAAACAAAACAGAAACATTTGATAACACAAAGTTAGAAATCAAGTTCAATTAATCATTGTTTTGTATCATCAGATGTTTCCTTGTGAGCACGTTTTCCCTTCTGGGCTCTTTTATAAATTTAGCTTGTTTTATTTGCCACTTTTTAAAATTCTCCCCATCAGCTGCTGCATCCAACTTCCTGTAGATCACAATTTATTTATTCTTTTAAGCAAAAAGACTCTTACATAGGCACCGGCTTAGTGGAGCAGCATTACCCCATGTTTTTCCATATATTATTTTTTATAGTGTACAAGTTATTTCAAGGGTTTTTAAATTTACGTTTCTTGAACTTAAGCCATCATTGTTATATTTTGTTGATAAAAAAAAGTACATCTATCTATCCATCCATCCAAGCTACATTGTAGCCACAGCTGTGCACTGACAGAGGCGGGGCTGTCATGCCATGCACCGGCGCCACCAGACCCTCTGATCACCATCTGTAGACAAGGCAGGTGAAGTGTCCCGCCCAAGGACACAGCGACTGAAATGGCTGGAACGGGGGATCGAACTGGTGACCAGTTCCAGGACGACTCCCCAGCAGCTTGAGCAGGGAGGCCCAGACCTGTTTTTCCCCTAGCCACCAAGGTATTTCCAGGTCAACCGGGAGACATAGTCTCCCAAGCGTGTCCTGGGTCTTCCTTGGGGTCGCCGTCCAGTCAGACATTCTTGAAGCACCTCCCTAGGGAAGCGTCCAGAAGGCATCATTACCAGATGCCCGAATCACCTCAACTGGCTCCTCTCGATGTGGAGCAGCGGCTCTACTCCGTCTCTCCTGGATAACTGAACTTCTCACCCTGTCTCTAGGGAGAGTCCAGCTACCCTGTGGACAAAACTAATTTTGACTGCTTGCATCCTTTCGGTCATTACCCAACGTTCGTGACCATAGGTGAGGGTAGGAACATCGACCATAAACAGAAAACAGACAGTGCCTTACAGCTCAGCTCCCTCTTCACCACAACAAACCAGTACAGAGTCTGCATTACTGCAGAAGTTGCACCGATCTTTCGATTTCATGCTTCTTTTTCCCCCTCACCACTTGAGGCAGAATCACCCCCAACCTGAAGAGCAATCCACCCTTTTCCGACCAAGGACCATGGATTCAGATGTGGAGGTCCTGATCCTCATCCCAGCTGTGAACTGTTCCAGTGAGAGCTGAAAATCACTGCACGATGACACGAACAAGACCACATCATCTGCAGATAGCAGAGATGGWATCCTGAGGCTGAAAACTACAATGACCAAAAAAATTGGTGTTATCAGATCTGCAGAAAAACTCATTGATCCAACTCTATTTTTTCAGTTCTGTTTGCAACTTTTAACAGGCTCTTTTTCCCCCTCTTTAGTATATTAATGTCTGTGATGCTCTATTTTATCATATCATAAAGTAAAATATGCTCTGGGTTGGATTTGTGTCTTTATGTTGTTATTCTTTATCTATGCAGGCTTTGTTTAGTTAATCTCTTCTGTGTCTCGAGTTGATTGGTCTCACTTAGGCCCCTGACTACTTCAGGGCTGTGGTTTATGCTTATTGAGCCTTTTTATAATCTGTTAAAAATGAAACAAATAAGGCTCTTGTTCGGGCCTCACTGTTCCGTTTGCATTTTGCCCAGGACAACTCTCTGGTTGTGTGGAAGGAGGTGGACCTGAACTCGCTCTCAGAAAAGGAACACCGGGATGTCATGAACGAAATAAGCATCCTCTCCATGCTGGAGCACAACAACATCATAGCCTACTTCAATCACTTCATGGATAAAAACACTCTGCTCATTGAGTTGGAGTATTGTAATGGTAAGAAATGCACTTTAACGGCCCTCGCTGCTCTTCTGGGAAGAAATGCTAAATTGGTTTGTCATCACAGGAGGAAATCTGTACGATAAAATTGTTCAGCAGAGGGGGCAGCTTTTCCCGCAGGAGGTATGTGTGCATCATTGTAGGCAATTGATTTAAAGCCTAATTAATTTAGATTGTGTTATTAATCTTGAAAATGTTTTTGTAGACTGTTATTTGGTATCTGTATCAAGTCTCCTCAGCAGTGGCCTATATTCACAAGGCTGGGGTCATACACAGGTAAGATGCTTACTTGTCAAGTACAGCAAATGACGTAAAAAAAAGGTTACTTTGTGTGTGAATATATGATTTGTTTGTTTTTATAGAGATATCAAAACTATGAACATTTTTCTGACCAAGACCAACCTCATTAAGCTGGGCGACTATGGCCTCGCTAAAAAGCTAGGCTCTGAGTTTTCAATGGCAGAGACTGTGAGTTCCTCAACATTTAATCGTCACAAGTCTTAAATTCTTGCCTGCTGTCTTTCAGGAGGTGTTATATTGTTTGAAGGACTATATCAACACATGTTCTACCTGACGCTTTTACCTGTCGCTCTGTTAAAGTGCCTGTGATGTGCATATTCTTCAAATACAAAAAGTCAAAGAAAACATCTTTATATTTAAGAAAGTTGGAATAATACACACGATTTAACCCATTTTGTCCCATAACTGGCATATTTTCTTTTGAACTTCACTCAACTAAAGTGACACAGGAAGCGACATCAAAGGGGAACTCTTCAACCAAGAACGCTGTGTTCACATGCAGACGTTCCCCTTTGACATCACTTCCTGTTGCTTCACAGGCAAATATCTCAACAACTGTTCATCTCAGCGACATGAAATTTCTTTTGCAACATTTTTATTGATGTCCTCTTTCTAAAAATGCATTCATATGTGTTACACAAATTTGACGTCACAGGCACTTTAAAGCAAACACAGTAAAAATGTTTTTGTCTAATATCCCCCACTCCCTCTCCTCTCCCCCTGTTATTTCCAGTGTGTTGGAACTCCATATTACATGTCGCCAGAACTGTGTCAGGGTGACAAGTACAACTTCAAATCAGACATTTGGGCCGTGGGTTGTGTGCTTTATGAGGTCCTAGTGCTTAAAAGAGCTTTTGATGCAACGGTGGGTTTAATCAATTTAAATCGATTAGTTATATTTTTTGCATCAGTTTTTTTTCCACCATAAATTATTTCCTGTTTTATTCATACAGAATCGTCTAAACCTCTGTGTGAAAATAGTCCAAGGAAACTGGACTATGGATATGAACTCGGATCTTTACTCAAGTGGATTGATTAAGTTGGTGTCTGATTGTCTTAATCAAGTGAGTGAGAGGACTTTTCAGTCTTGCGTTGCTCCAGATGATGCTGCATCGTTGAGCGACAAGCTGTGATCTTTATGTGTTGCAGGATCCTGCAAAGAGGCCGACTGCTGAGGAGATTCTGGATCAGCCTTTCATCTCCAGCTGCCGACAGTAAGATTTTGATTTTTTTAGTCATTTTTTTAAATACRAAAAGCTCACTTAACTGCTTGACTCTGTAACAGGGAACTTGAGGAGCAAGTCGTCATGCTTAATTTAGCGATGAAGAAACCAAAGTAAGTTCACATCCATGATCCCGAACAGTGGAAAAGCCTTGTTTACGATTAGGTCACTGATTTGTTGTTACGTCTCCATAAAAGGCTGAGCACGGCGACCGAGACACCTGTCGCTGTGGTGACTACACGTTCGAGGGAGGTGTATTTTTGGGGAGGAGGAAAGTTTACCCCCCAGAAGCTTGACTCGTTCAAAGGAGGCAGCAGCGCTCAGCATGTTTGCGCAGGAGAGAGTCACTTTGCAGTGGTGACGGTGGAAAAGGAGCTCTTTACCTGGGCTGTAAGGACTCGTTCTTCACTCTCTGGCAGATTTAGGATTTTGTTTCTTTTTTTTTTGTGTCTGTCTGTGTGCTGCACTGTATGGAACTTTCTTCACCCTTAGAATGTGCAAGGTGGGACCAAGATGGTGGGTCAGCTGGGGCACGGGGACCAGGCCTCGTACCGGCAGCCGAAGAGGGTGGAGAAGCTTCAGGGGAAGGCGATCCGACAGGTGGCGTGTGGGGCCGACTTCACTGCCTGCGTAACTGGTGGGCTGTCTACAGTATCTGTCGTTTCTACAAAGTTGATCCTTTTCCAATTWAAAAAAACTGTTTGCTTCCTTTGTAGATGAAGACCAGCTCTATATGTTTGGGTCAGACTATTACGGCTGCATCGGAGTTGAGGGCGAGATGGGCACGGAGGTTTTGGAGCCAGTGTATCTGGAGTTTTTTGAGGAGAGGCGCGTCCACCAGGTTTCCTGCGGAGACAACCACGTTGTGGTTCTCACTCAGGATGGCAGCATTTATTCGTGGGGCTGTGGAGAGTATGGTGTGTGGGCTGGCTTCGACCTATTGTTTTTGTTTTTCTAATGAGGGCCACCAGGGGGAGACAAAGTCCAGGCTATATTGTGGTTAACTGACAGACTACTTACAGTCATTTTAGTAAAGAATTTACCAGGGTTTTAGGAGACATTCTTACTATGAGGGCTATAAAAATAAAGTATTATTTTACAAACACTGATAATTATTTGTTGTTTTCCTGTCGCAGGACGTCTTGGCTTAGAGTGTGAGGATGACTTCTCTTCTCCAATGCAAGTAAGACTCACTTCTCTGTCAGACTTATACAGTATAAATGAAGTAAGAGATTGTATCTTTTCACAACCTGGCTCAAGAGGTCATGACAAAAAAGGAGGCACACTGATTTTTAAAGTAAGTTTACATATTTTTTATTATTTCAAAGTATATTTTTAAAGCCCAACTTAAGTTTGACAAAAATACCAAACAAACTAAACCAAAAATTATACTAGTTTACTCAATTAACTACCATAATGAAAGCAAAAACAAGACCTGCTGATACTATTAATGTTAACAAATAAGCCCAATAAGATTAACTGGACTGTTTGCAATGGAGAGAGCAAAAACAGTCCAAGCAAAAATTATAACTTAAAGAAACAAAACCCAACAAAACTAAGTGAACTGCTTGCTATGGGAAGAGCAGCCACTGGTGTAAGGAGCAGCCAGACCTAAATAGGCTGGGACAATTGACCCAGGTGCTCCCAGTCTGCAGCTAACTCCAGGCCGCACCCACTTCACCTGAAGAACAAAATACAAACATTAATCCAATGACAGGAGTCGTCACAATCTCCATTTCTCTTTATGTTTATCCTGTCTGCCCTTTTTTTATTTATTTTTTCACCCCCAGGTGGAAATTCCTAGAGGTGCCGCCATCTCCTCCGTGTCGTGCGGCTGTGACGGGACCTTCTTTCTGACAGAGACGGGCAAAGTCTTAGCCTGTGGAAACAACGAATTCAACAAGCTGGGGTTGAACCAGGGATATTCTGGCATCAAAAACCATCCTGGAGAGGTACAGACCAGCATTTACAGCACTGTAATGACGAGGCGAACTACGCAGCAGGGTTTGTGATTTTATTTTTTGCTTTATGAACACTGAACAGGGTTACCAGGGAATACCATACATCACCACACTGACCTTAGTGAAACAACTATCGCGCTTCAAGATCCAAGTCATCGCTACGGGGAAAACTCACACAGCTGCTATTGATGGTACGGAACAAAATAAGCTGTTTTTTCCCCCAGTATTTGTTTGTTTTAAACTATATTTTAAAGTTTTTACGTATTAATTCTGGCAGAACGAGGTCGTCTGATCACCTTTGGTTGCAACAAGTATGGGCAGCTGGGTGTGAAAGACTTCAAGAGGCACCAAGGTGTTCAAGTTCTTGTTGGACCTTTAGGAGGGAAGATGGTGACCAAAGTGTCTTGTGGAGATGGATTCACCATTGCAGCCACTGAGGGTGAAACATCTGAAGCAATATAGTGTTCTCTGTTAAAAGTCTTGGATTCATCAGGTGGATCAGACTCATTTTCTCTTTGTTTTTTTCTTTCAGACAATCACATCTTTGCATGGGGAAATGCAGGAAATGGAAGRCTTGGAATGCCTGCAGATAAAAGATTTGGTTCAGAGGTTTGCCCTGCCATGCCCAGACCCATATTTGGTTCCCTTCACCATGTACCTGACCTCTCTTGTCGTGGCTGGCACACCATTATCATTATGGGTCAGTCATCAGAAAACCTGTTACAAATGCCATTTAAAAAAAMACACACATCAGTTTAATCTTTTTGTTTGTTTGTAGAAAAAGTGCTCAATTCAAAAACCATCCGCTCAAACAGCAGTGGACTATCAGTYGGTAGTGTAAACACTCTTTTTAATCACAAATTCAAGTTTTTATTTGTTTGCATCATTTAAAACTACATATTTTTTCTGTTTGKATGCATAAAGGTCTTGGCCAGGAGGTGTCTACATCCACTGTGGAACTGAACATAGAGCCTGGGCCAGAGACAGACTCACGCAACGGGAGTCTTGGGGGTACGCGGGAGATCAACACAGGGGAGGGGGTCATAGAGACCTCGATGATGTCATTTGGAAATCAGACCGGGGACAGTTCGTGTCCTCTGTGGCTTAAAAAGGTTTGGGGTCTAGAAAACGCAACGAGAGCTCGCGTCAGCAATATTGCCTGCTGTTGCTCTAAATCAGCAAACCTTGTCCAACAGGAGCTGGAGGACGCAGAGTTCATCCCGATGCCGGCGGAGTCCGAGCTGCCCGTTCTTGATCCGCTCTCCTCCGTCTCCGAGACGGACACTCGGCCGTACGAGGAGCTGAAGGAGCTCAAGGCGGCGGCTGAAGCAGTCAGCAGTCAGAAGGGACTATCAGTACGGCACTTCCTCTTTTCTTGAATGTAGACGAGTCATCATTTAAAAAAAATGTTTTTCACTATTCTGCTCTGCATAGTGCGCACTCATCATTTTTTTTGTGTCGGTCCAGCAAACTAGGCAGATGGGCTTTGAGAAAGTCCGTGGGTTGGAYGACGATGACGTCTTTAGAAAAGAAGGATCCGGTGCATGCTGCGGTGCAAGTACTGAAGTGGCTCAGGTAACACGTGGATTCACTCATGCAAATCATAATAAAATAAGCACACTGCAGGGTATGTGTGACAATTCAGATCATTTTGCAGCTGAGAGAAATGGTTGCCCATCAAGAGATGAGGATCAAGATGCTTGAAAAGCAGGTGATATAAATGATATTTTCCTTCCCAGGATTTATCCACCTCAGAGCAGATACTGTATCAACTAGGGGGCATGAGCAGCAGGAATCATGTTTTTTTTCTGTCTTCAGGTCAGTGAGCAGCAGCAGGAGAACGAACGGCTCTGGGCAGCGATTAATCGTTCGACACAGCAAGAGTCAGGATTGGACAGCAACAGAAACCCTCAGTCCATGCCGAGCAGCGGAGGAGGTGAAAGGAGACTGACGAATCACGGAGGCAGATCTGCCGGAGCCAGTGCGTGAGATTAAAACGTGGAGATTTCCTGCTAAGCTCTGTGGTTATTTGCCCATGCATATGCGATATGCATCACCGCCTAGCTAGCTCCTGCCGACTGAAACAGTGGCTGGGTTGAACACGAATCACTGGACTTTAAAGTCTGGGGGAGGCAATCTGACCAGTGWTGAGCAGCAGTGTAAGCGTCGACTTTTAGGGGTTTCAGTATCAACTCTTCAGCTCCTAATGTCTCAGATGTTAGTATTTATCACACAGTAGTCAAGACAAGCTCGTGCAAACAGGAGGCTGCTTCCTGATGTATCCCTGATGATGAGATGTGAGGCGAGCAGCCGACATGTTTGCAACAGAAATGTGAACACATCGCTTTTCTATAAATCACCTTTGTTTATTGAAAGGTTTTGATAAAATTTCGTGAGATCCGAATACGGCCTCTTCAGATTATATTTATCAAACATATTTGCTCTCCAGTAATTTTATGCAAATAAATATATATATTTTCCCATTTGCATGCTTTATTTTAAGGAAATTTGTGTGAAACACAAAACTACTGATTTATTTTCAACTAACCAACTTTTTCTCATTTAAAATTCTTTATTGCAGCGCATTTATTTGTTTACCTTGTGCTCTACGAACACTTGAACAGTTTTTACAAGATGGTTACGAGGGGGTTAGAGCATTTATAATGGACCTGATCCAGCTGTAATAGTTTCCTGTCTTGCCTTTTAAGCAACTGTTTCTGTGTTTAGTGCATCCTGAAAGCAAAACGTTTTGACTGTGGTTTTTGTTTGGGTTTTTATGTGAGGGCTGTTGGGTTTGTTTATTGCATGTATACAGTATTTAAAGTATATACACACAACGTATTTCAAATGTTTCAGAACTGATGGGAGATGTTTCTCTGTTTGCAGAAAGTTAATTTAAAACCCACCGTGCTGTTCCTGTTATGTTTTGGGGTCATATTTTGTTGCTGTTATATGACCAACCTGTCCGTTTATTCTTCTTTGTATTTCCTCGCCATTTCAATAACACACATTACCAACTTTAGGAGTATCGACTTAGTAACTCCTTCACACAGTCAAAGCTGTAAGGAATCAGTAAAAGTTGGGTGCTRGTAGGAATGATGCACAGTAACTTCCAAAGATAAATTTACTTCCGTTGCCACAGTAAATGTGTTTTCTCGTTGGTGTAAAAAAGGATTTTCTATAAAACTTGCATGTTTTTTTTCTTTGTAATTATCTCAAGCACTTTACCTCTTACCCTTATGCAAAACTGTGGGCAGATAGTGGTGTTCTGTATCTTTTTACCAGTACACTTTCTATACTTTTACAGCATATTACAGAAAGCTCAACTCATTGTGAACTGTGTGCTGTGTAACATGGGCACACATTACATTTTATGCAATTAACTGCAGAGTTCTACTGCATTATTGTGCCTTAGGTTAAATATCTTTATTTTACTTGTTTTATTCTATTTTATTAATTTGTACTGTTTTTTTCCAGCTCGTGGTCACTCTATTTTTTTGCAAGCTAAAAATAAAACAAGTGTGTCTGTTTATAATGTGTCTATCTAATCAACATTTTATGACACATATTTTCTTGTACATGTCTGTTTCCTTTTGTTTAAAAAATGGCTCAACACTGGCGTTATATAGGGAAACACGTATAGTTGATCTGTTAAAAGAAATAACAGGTTGTTTAATAAAAAAACAATTTTTCTTATTGAAAAATTTTCTTGTTTAATAAAACCATTCAAAAACAGTAACAAGACAATTACCATTTAGACTTGAATTAATTTGGCCTCGTGCTGCTAACAAGGAGTCCATCTATATCCAGATTACATGTTTCTCTTGTGGTTTTGTCTTCGTCCTTTTTAAAACCTGGACACAGACAAAATATACCTTTTTTAAATTGTCATATACAGTAATGATGAATATTAGGTGGTTTTCCTAGAATCTTGGGATCGGTAACATTTCAGTGGCTTACCTCTGGAGTCGTGTGTCTTTCGTGGGCTTTGAAGTATTCATCCATCTGGGATCCTTTGATCTCTGAGCAAACGAGCTGAAGACTTGATGCTGCCTTTTCTTTGCACAGATCTGGAAATGCGTCTCCAGTCTGTCACTCAGAAAGGATCGGTTGCAGATTTCACAGGGAAGAAGCTGGATGAGGCCACCTTTAGTAGTGCTGATCGATGGTCCTGCCTGCTGCTGCTGACTGTGATGAAAAGAACCAGGAAGGAGTGGGAGAGTCGACTCATTGGGCTGATTTTCTCTGGTGCKTTTTTGTTTTTCTGTTGCCAGCCTTTGCAGCCTTTTCTGCGACATATTTTGCAGATTATCTAAACCATCGTTGTCCCTTTGTGTTCTTTCTTTGTATTTCTTTTCTCTTGTCCAAGTTGCATTTCCTACAGTGGCCTCATTTTGTTCTCTGTATCTTGCCTCTGTTTCTTTCCAAGCGCCATCGTATTTTTCAACTTCTCTTTTTCTTCTAAAAGGCTCATTCAATTTCTCCAATCTTAAATTACTTTGTACACTATTTGTTGTGTGTTCACTAGGATCCCATCTGGCCTGCTGTAAATCCTGTGTATTCCTTATTCTGTCTTCAGTCCTCCGACCTTGTTTTATCCTCAGTTGCATTAAATCCTCATGCAAACTTTCACCATCCAGCATATCGTTCCTTCTTAATGGTGTTCTCTGATACTCAGATAACCTGTCTTTTGTGTGAATTTCTTCCCATTCATCTTGTCCACTGTACTGCCTCTCCTTTCCATTCTTCTGTTCGTAACCTGCAGCAGTGTCAGCACTACTGCTTTGGATGGTTTGTCTTATTTTTTCTCCAAGCCTCCAGAGCTTTTCCTGTAGAAGTAGCTCTTTCTCCTGAATAGCTCTTGTCATCTGAAGCGCTTCCYTCTGCCATTTTTGTGAGGATGTAGGGGTCTTTGGAGTGCCACCTGAAGGGTATTCTAGTGGCAGCAAACGGCCTCTGGGCTGTGAGGACAAAGTGGTTTTCTCAAACTGCTGTAAACCAGGTCGGTCTTGTGTCCTTGGGAGTGTTTTGTGGCTCACAGGCTTGATTGGAAATGGCTGGTCCTCTCCAGCTGTTTTATGTTGTGCACGAGTACAGATGTTTCCATGCATTCTTCCTGCAGTGCTGTATTTCCTCTGAGAATCTTATTTTTCTGTGTTTGCATTCGTGATTTTTTTCAATTGTCTTGTTATCCAACTTCTGAGGTGATCTCCTACACAATAAAAATAGGCCTAAATACATTTGGTAAGCTCTAAGAGAAAATGGCAAATGTACGTGGCACATTTTTATTTGAGCAACTATAAAAAAGGAACTTGACACTGATTTTCCATTTTTTTAAACATGTAAAATGCCACAGCTATGCATTTATGTCTAAGGTTCATTAAAAGTCATTTTTATCAGCACTGGAAGCTTCCTTATGACCAAAYTTAAATCTCCAAGTAACGAACAATTGGAAATTACTTTATAAAAGGCTCAAAATGGCATACTCGACCAATTTGAAAGCGCAATGCAAAATGATGACATAATAAGAAGTTATTTAAATTAAACAACATAAAACAGAAAAAATGTGGGACACAAACTGTTAGGAGAGACGAACATAAATGCAAATAATGACTAAAATATTTATGAAATCAACATGTAGAAACTATAATACTTACATTACAAGACCTCAATCGGCATGAATTCAGTTAGAAATCCACTCTAGCGTTTGAAACAAATTGTTTTCATGTGTTCTTTTAAATGCTGCGTCTTTTCCTGTTTACATTTGTTGCCTAGCAACAAAGCGTCTCGCGTGTTTTCGGGGTCTTTCTTTTGACATCATTTCCGGAAGTCGAGACCCGTATGTTTCAAAAGTCGAGATCTTTCGGTGCAAGGTGGTCGTTACACTGCTTCCGAGCATCATCAAGGTAAATTGCAAATAATAATGATATTAATCCTAATAACATCCATAGTGTGGTTTTACAGTAACAAATAAGCAGTGAACATGTAATCGTGTTAGCATTAGCTCGTTGTAGCTGTAAGTTAGCTGTGTAGCTACATGAGTGAGTGACTAAAAGTTTTATTTCTTCTTTTTAGGTCCGTTATGTCCAGTGAAGACCTCATTTCTGTGGATTATGAAATTTTCGGCAGAGTGCAAGGTGTATTTTTTCGGAAATACACTCAAGTGAGTTTGTATGGAAGCCCATTTCCGCCACCTTGATTAAAAAAATATATAAAACTTGTATCTCATAATTATGACTTAGCTATCTCATAATTATGACTTAGCTATCTCATAATTATGACTTAGCTATCTCATAATTATGAGATACTATCTCATAATTATGACTTAGCTATCTCATAATTATGACTTAGCTATCTCATAATTATGACTTAGCTATCTCATAATTATGAGATACTATATCATAATTATGAGATAGCTAAGTCATAATTATGAGATACAAGTTTTATTTTTTTATCAGGGTGGCGGAAATGGGCTTCCATAAGTTTGACATTGGATGAAGCCAAGTCTGACAAAAATAAAAATTAAGGCAAAAACAAAACCAACACTGTTTAAACTTAATGGAAACTGATCAACCTTCTATGGGAGGTATTTTCCACCAATGCCACAAGTTAAATACTTTAACAGCTTTGCTTGATTTCCTTCACAAATTGTTCTTGCATCATCTATATCTTTTTTTTAACTACAGTTTTTTTTCCCCAGACTGAGGGAAAAAAACTTGGTCTTGTTGGTTGGGTCCGAAACACAACAGCAGGAACCGTCCAGGGGCAGCTACAGGGTCCACGGAATAAAGTGGAGCAGATGCAGGAATGGCTGAAAACGACTGGGAGTCCCAAGTCACACATCATAAAGGCCGAGTTTGAGAACGAGAAAACAATTGACACCCTAGAACACTCTTCTTTTAAAGTTGTTCATTGAAATGAGCTGTTGTGTTGATTGTGCTTGTGATATTAACATGTTTATTTATTTAGTTTTATTAACTGCAGGTGTTCCAAAACTACTGTAAAGTAAAATTAATGCAATGTTAGCTCTTCAAGCCGTATAATTACATTAATAAATTCAAAAACCTTTCAATAGGCATCATGTTGTTTGATWTGTATTCAAATAATTGCAACGAATAAATACTTTGAGGTCACTTTAGTCAACTTTAGATCTTTGTTGTTAGTGACATTTAAAGAAACAGAGATTCTAGCAGTAAAAGCAAAGGTTTTGATTAATTTGCATGATGCATAGTTTTGTTTAGCTCCCTGTGTGTGTAAACCACACTGCCATTTCTTAGTAATTTATGCACAGCTAAAATAAATTATTAATAACACCTGAACATTTTTCTTGATGTTTTTTTTTTTTTTTCACTTTCAGGCCAACATTGTAAATAAGAAACTGTTCTTAACGTTTTGCCTGGTAAAGGTTAAATAAAAATAAAAAATAAGCCTTTTCTAACACCTTGACATTTCAAGTTAGGCTTGCTTATGTCAATAAGCCACAGTGAGGCATATAATGAATGACAATAATGAAACAGGTGCACTGAATTTTAATTTGCACAAACATGTTACAGACCACACTTCATAGCAAAAAAAAAAAAAAAAAAGCTCATTACTAGACGAGGATGTTGTTGAAAATGGTGTGTTTGGAAACACAGGGACATTTCGGTTTAACTGCTGAGTTGACCTGTAGCCATGTCATTTATACTAAAATATGTCTATATGCCGGTTTAGTTTTTTTCCTCCCTAAAACAAGATCTATTGTTACACATTTATCAGTGAAACACAACAGCTCTAACGACTTAAAGATTATATCTCGAAACATTTGCTTGGTAGTACCAAGTTTTCCCTTTATTATTGAACGCAACTGTCGCGCACGTTGATGACGAGACAGGGACTCTTTACTGTGATTGGTTGTTGGGTTGAACGCGTTTATTTGAGCGTCGCAAACCGTTCTAAGCTAAYCGTAGGATGGCACTGCCAGAGTTGTAGCTTCAGAATTAGTAATAAACATAATGTTACTTTGTTTTCTACCACATTGACTAAACTACAACTGAGGTAAATTCGATAATGTTTCAAATCCGTTTGACTCAATGAAACACGTTGCGGTTAAAAAGTTTTAGTTTCCTTAACGACTAGTTAGCAAAGGCTTGCTACTAGGTAGTAACTGCGTTATTTTTAAGCCGACCAACTTGTGAATTTATTAGGTCTGGACAGGACAAAACAGCGAACACAATGATTAAGTGTTTGCCCACGGAGGTTCAGGAGAAACTTCGCTCCGGGGTYGCCATCCCCTCGCTGCAGCAGTGCGTGGAGGAGCTCATCCTGAACAGCATCGACGCCGGGGCGACCTGTGTGGGCGTTAGGATGGACATGGAGGCATTTAAAGTTCAGGTCATCGACAACGGCTCCGGGATGACTGCCGAGGACATGACACGCGTGGGAAACAGATACCACACCAGCAAATGCGGCTCCGTGGAAGACCTGGACAACCTGAAGTGGTACGGCTTCAGAGGAGAAGCCTTGGCGAGTATAGTTTCTCTGGCCACGCTTGTTGAAATCTCATCCAGGACCAGACTGTCGGTGAAAACACACGTTAAGCTGTTCAGGAGTGGGAAGGGTTTGGATGTGTTCGAGGCTGAAACTGTCCGACCATCTGCGGGGACCACKGTTACCATTTGTAACTTCTTTCACAACATGCCGGTCCGGAGGAAGAGGGTCGATGGTGTCCTCGAGGGGGAGAGGATCAGACACAGGATCGAGGCGGTTTCTTTAATGCATCCTTCCGTCTCCTTCACCCTGAAGAAYGACTGCACGGGGGCCATGATGGTGCAGCTGGCCAAAGCCAGGAGCACCTATCACAGGTTTGTTCAGATACACAGCCTTGCGCGAGGSGAGAAACTGGGAGAAATCAACTATACGCACAAACAGTTTGAAGTGACTGGTTACCTCGGCAAAGCGGGACACTACAGTAATAGTTTACAGTACYTGTATGTAAATGACAGGCTGCTGTTGAAAACACGGATTCACAAACTGCTCAACTTTCTTCTACGCAGACTGAGCAGTTCAAACCAGAAAAACGAAAGCCYGGATGTCCTCAAGAGTCCAAAACACAGGCGAAACCAGGAGCAATACGGAGTATATATCATCAATATAAAATGCTCTTAYTCGGAGTACGATATTTGTCTCGAGCCTGCCAAAACCCTTATCGAGTTCAAAGACTGGGATGGGGTTTTGCTATGTGTTGAGGAAGCAGTAAGAGCTTTTCTGAGGAAAGAGAACTTGGTGTCTCTGTTTTCTCAAGATGACTTGGACTGTATATCTTCTAAAGTGTTTAGTACGGACATAACGGACAAAGAGATGGAAAGTGAAAAAGGTGGCCACACGTCTGCCGGGACTTCCACCCTGGAATGCAGTGTAGGGATGAAGCTGGCATCTGAACTTGTTCATCGCAGGCACACAGGTGACAATGTTTGCGTTGAGGCTGGTCTGACGGACTGCAGCTCTGACCAGACTGAACACAAGCAGAAAGAAATGATATCAAATGAGTTTAAAAAGACACCACAGTGTGATCTAAAGCATGCATCTCCCAGTATTAATAAGGAGGAGCCAAATTTCAGTGAAGGTTCAGAAATTTTACACACGCCAAACACATCAGAAWGTCGACTGTTAAAGGAAAAAGAGTCTGAATTGAATAATATAACTTTAACCAGTGATATAAATTCTATTCACAGCCTCATTCAGCCTGATTTAAGTTGTACTAAAGAATACCCGCAATCTGCTGGCAGGATTGAACAACCTTCAGTAAATAAACAAAAGATCAGTTTGTCTGACCCGTACATTCACAAGAGYCTGCAGGTTCAGGACCAGTGTCAAACAAGAAAACTGGGATTTCAGATGCAAGATTTGGTAGCAAACTGGGGAGGAAAAACGTCAAAGCGCAAAATCTCTCTGGAAGTGGATAAAGACAGAACTTCTCAGAAACGTTTTGCTCCTTCAARGTTTACCAAAGTTCACTCTAGTCWGAAACTGTCCACATTCGGGGAGTCCGGATCCCTTGACAAGTTCAGACGAACATACGTTAAATCCAGTGAAATTACATTCCCACGTCCTCGTTTACAGAGAAACGCTGAACTCGCTCAGGTAAAAGGCTTCGCAGAGAATCGTGGGAGTATGTCTGTTTGCAARGACACCCTACAACTGGGTCAAGTCACAAAGACGGGGGAGGGCGACACGGGTAGCTTCCAAAGCACACCAACCCTCTCAGTTGGCAAAGATMAGAGAAAAGGTAAAATATCATTAGCAGCTAAACTTAGCCATTTAAAACAACATGGGGCAGAAAATGTAGAACTCTCAGAGCACCTTTCAAGGAATACCTCAGATGAGAAAAACTGTCCTGATTGTGATAACGACTGTGTACAAGARAGTAACGACAACCAGAATCCCCAGGACTCTACGGTGCATTTTGATCCARTGTTAGACTGCAATAAGAATCCTCAATTAGACAGGAATGAAGAGGACATAACATGGAATGACTGGCTGCATCATTTCGATGAGTCTGTTGGAAAGACAGTGTATGTCAACAGAATGACGGGGCTCAGCAGATACGAGGATCCAGCTGCAGAAGACACACGTGTGCGCTGTACGTCCGACGTGACCAACATGGCAGTCAGTGTCATCTCAGAGATGGGTGAGTTACTGCAGTTACTTTCACTTAAAGCAACTAATACTCAATACGCTCATTGAACTTCTTGAGTTGGCCCATTTCATTTGGAGAAAGTGTTTTTTACCTTCTCCTTGTCTTTGGAACTGTAGGGATGGAATACAGGTGTTACCCCTTTCAGGTGGAMTCAGTTTTGCCTTTTCTGCCTAAGTCCAGACCAGAAAGAGTGATTAGCTCAGGGACTGATTGTAGAGGTATCCCACAGTTGCAGCAGAGCGTTCAGACTCTAAAATCCACAGTGGAACTACATAAAGTTGGCTTGAATGTTCTCATTTTATGTTGTTTGTCCTTACAGATGATGCTGGTGAGAGCTCCAACTCACTCTCTTCAYTATATTCCAAATGGAAAAATCCTGTCTTTGTCCGCCCTCCTACAGTAAGCAAAACTTTATCTTAGAAGCTCTTAAAATGATCTAAAAGTAAATATAATCAACATTCCTGTGTCATCAGGTTGGTTTGGATATTTCCAGTGGGCAAGCTGATGGTCTGGCTGTAAAAATCCACAACATCCTCTTTCCTTATCGCTTTTCTAAGGCCATGATTCACTCAATGAAGGCAAATTTATCTTTATATCCTTCATCATTCATTTTAGCTTTAACATGTTTTAAAAAATGAAGTTGTTGTCCAATTACCTTTTAGGTTATTCATCAAGTGGATAAAAAGTTCCTTGCATGCCTAATCAACACAAGAGATGAAGACTCTGCAGCACAGAGTGAAACTGAAAGTATGAGGAGATGCACATTAAAGCTTCAACACCAGAGGGTTTTTTGATACTTTAAATGTTTCATTGTTTTTTTTTTTTGTTTTTTTTTTCCTCTGAAATGACAGGAAATCTATTGGTGCTGGTGGATCAGCATGCTGCACATGAGAGAGTTCGCCTGGAAAGTTTAGTCGCAGGTTAAAAGGAAACATCAATGGCACGTTATCTAATCATTAGCTGCTGTAYGAGTCTGTGGTCACAGCTGGATGTTTTGTTGTAGATTCATATGAGGATGACCCAGATGTCCTCRGGGAGAGACGTCTCTGTTCATCAACTATTTGGCCACCTCTGGAGATCAGCGTAACGGAGGAAGAGCTTCGGCTGCTTAGGTGTGTTTTCTGATTTTTCTTCTTTTTTTACAGGATTGTAAATCAACAGSTTTAGGTTCTAAATATGATAGGTATTAACCTCAGTTACCCTTATTTTGCCATAAAATAAACAGCATTTTTTACAATTAATCCTAAATAATTTGAAGTTTAAGAACAGAGTATATACAGAATAATGCAAGAACTACCATTCCTATGATTTTATATTCATATAATTAGCTATAAATGACCACATGATGGTAGCCTGACTTTGTAAATGTTCATTCAGAATTAGCCATCTAAAAAAAAGTAAAAAAAAAAAAAAAAAGATACTAGATTATAGTCTGAATCTTCTCAAATAAGTGAAATGATCTGCCAGGGCAGTGAGACAGTTGCACTTTATAAAACTTCTTAAAATATTGAAAGAAAATCCAGGCTAAGAAGATAAATAATTTAAAATATTAGGCTTTTGCTTAGTATATCAGTTGCAAAACAAAATCAAAAATACTTTTTGACTGGATATGAGATTATAAGACTTGGTTAGATGGATGCCAATTTCATTTTTTTATATAGACTTAGACTGCTGGAGCACAAACTGAGTACATTCCCTCACTCTGTTGTTACCTTTAGTCTCTCTTCTCTGCATGTTTATTGTAATTATTTCTATCAATAACATGTTTTTTCTTTGTCTCCTCCAGAAGAAGGTGCACCTGGACGAGTTCTTCTGTGTTTACCTGTCTCTCTTTCCTGTCCCCCAACCAGCCGGTCGAGGCAGATGGCCACCTGTCCTGAGCCTGGTTCTGCTGGAGGTTTCTTCC